AGGATGGTCAGAGATGTGGGTGCTCCTTTCGCAGTTAATGATGGGAAAAGAAAGCAGAAAACATGTGCAGGTGTGGTGGACCCCAGCACCCAAATCAGCCAGCATGACCCAGAGGATCTTCATAGGATTTCACCCAACAGGAGCTGAGTGCCTCCACCCTGTTTAGAAGTGGACATGGAGCATTCACCAAGGTAGACCTTATCTGGGGCCATAAAACAAGTGTCAAGTTTAAAAGGGTTAAAGTCATACAAAATATGTTCTCTAACCACAGTGGAATCAAATTAGAAATCAGTAGCATAAAGATCTCTGGAAGATCCCTAAGTATTTACAGACTGACAACACATTTATAAATAACCCACAAATCAGAGAAGAAATCAATAGGGAAATTAGGAAGTATTTTTACGAGAATGAAAATGAAAATGCAGTATATCAAAAATTATAAGATGCTGCTAAAACACTCTTTAAGGAAACATTTATAGCACTAAATGCCTGAATTTAAAAAGAATAAAAGTTTCAAACCAATGACCTCAGCTTCCTCAGAAAAGCAGAAAAAGGGGAATAAATGGAACCCAAAATAAAGAAAGAAAATAAACATTGGAGTAGAAATCAGTGAACCCACGAGCTGGTTCTTTGAGAAGATCAATAAAATTGCTAGACCTCAAACCAAGACTGATCAGGGAAAAAGAAGGAAGACACAAATTACCAATATCAGGAAGGAGAGAGGTGACATCACCACAGAGTCTACAGATATTAAAAGATATAGGAATGGGGCTGGCCTGGTGGCGTAGTAGTTAAGTTCACACGCTCCACTTTGGCGACCCGGGGTTTGCAGGTTCAGATCCCAGGTGCAGACCTAGCACCACTCATCAAGCCACACTGTGGCGGCATCCCACATAAAATGGAGGGAGATTGGCGCAGATGTTAGCTCAGCGACAGTCTTCCTCAAGCAAAAAGAAGACAATTGGCAACATGTTAGCTCAGGGCCAATCTTCCTCATAAAAAAGAAGGAATACAGGAATGTGATTGTGGTGGTCACTTCTACACGTCAACCTGACTGGGTCATGAGGTGCCCAGATATTTGATTAAATGTTATTTCTGGGTGTGCCTGTGAGGGTGATTCTGGATGAGACTAGCTTTTGAATTGGTGGACCGGGTAAAGCAGATGGCCCTCCCAATGTGGGTGGGCCTCGTCCAGTCCACTGGAGGCCTGAACAGCAAACACAGGCTGAGGAAGAGGGAACTCCTTCTGCCCAGCTCCCTTGAGCTAGGACACTGGTCTTCTCCTGCCTCTGGACTTGAGACGTCAGCTGTCCTGGGTCTCCAGCACCCACCACAGGTCTTGGGCTTTTCAGCCTCCGTGGTCACATGAGCCACTTTCTTATAATAAATGTCTTTATATATATTTACACATAGCTATTGGCTCTGCTTCTCTGGAGAGCTCACATGTGTGTATATTTGTATATATGAGAGAGACTGGGAAGCGTTCATCCCAGGAATAAGAAGCTAGTGTGGCATGCCATAATCAATTGCTGGAACTCTCATGTTTGTCACCATCTCCTTGGACACAGAAAAGACATCTGACAAAATCCAGCATCTATTCCTGATCAAAACTCAGCAAACTAGAAATAGCAGGAACTTGCTTCACATACACAAAACCTACTTGGTGAGTGACTGGGGCTCTGTCCCCAAGATCAGGATCGGGGCAAGTCTGCTCCTGCCACTTGTGTTTACACTGTACAGGGCATTGTAGCGGGTGCCTCAGCAAGAAGAATGAAAGGCGTCTGCATCAGATAGGAAATTGGATGGCTCTTACGTGCAGCTGAGAGCTGATAAGTGGTTACCACACTTGCAGGATGTGAGGTCTCTATTACTATTAGAAAAGTAAGTTGTTTGTGTGTATACTAGCAGTAGACACTTGGAATTGAATTTTTTTTTTTGAGGAAGATTAGCCCTGAGCTAACATCTGCCGCTAATCCTCCTCTTTTTGCTGAGGAAGGCTGGCCCTGAGCTAACATCTGTGCCCATCTTCCTCTACTTTATATGTAGGACGCCTACCACAGCATGGCTTGCCAAGCAGTGCCATGTCCGCACCTGGGATCCGAACTTGGCGAACCCCAGGCCACCGAAGTGAAACGTGCACACATAACTGCTGCGCCATTGGGCCGGCACCAGAATTAAATTTTTTAATGCCATTTAAAATAGTATCCGAATACTTGAGTATTGGGGATAAATATGACAAAAGATGTGCAAGATTGTACACTGAAAACTACAAAACATTGATGAAACAAATTAACAGAAGACCTAAAAAGTGGAGAGAGACATGGTATTCATGGGTCAGAAGACTCAGCATTGTTAAGATGCCTGTTCTTCCCAAATTGATGTATAAATTCAGTGCTATTTGGGTCAAAATCTCAGCAGACTTTTCGTAGAAATTGACAAGGTGTTTCTAAAATTCAAGTGGAAATGAAAAGGACCTAGAATTTTCAAAACAATTGAGAAAGAACAATAAACTCAAAGAATTCACAGTACCTGATGTTGAGATGTGTTACAAAGTTGCAGTAATGTAGACAGTCTGCTGCTGTCATCAAGACAAACAAAAGTGTCAGTGAAGCAAAAGAGAAAGCCTAGACAGACCCACGCGGATTTGGACAACTGATTTTCTGCGAAGGTACAATGGCAGGTGGAGTGCAGAAAGGATGTCTTTTTAACAGATGTGCTGGGACAGTTGAATATCATATGCAAAAATGTGCACCTGGGTCCACACCTCACAGCATTTACAAAAGTTAGCTCAAAATGATTCATAGCCCTAAATATAAAGCCTAAAACTATGAAACTTCTGGAAAACAATGTAGGAGAAATCTTCATACCTTAGGTTAGGCACAGGCATCTTAGGTGTGACACTAAGTGTGATCTGTAAAGAAAAAATCCATAAATTTGGACTCCAGTGAAATTAAATATTTTGCTCTTCAAAAGACACTGTTAAGGGGCTGGCCCCATGGCCAAGTGGTTAAGTTCACACACTCTCCTTTGGCTGCCCAGGGTTTTGCCGGTTCGGATCCTGGATACGGACATGGTACTGCTGCTCCGGCCACGTTGGGGCAGTGTCCCACATGCCACAACTAGAAGGACCCACAACTATGTACTGGGGGGATTTGGGGAGAAAAATCAGGAAAAAAACAAGAAGATTGGCAACAGTTGTTAGCTCAGGTGCCAATCTTTGAAAAAAAAGACACTTAATATAACGAAAAGACAATGACAGACTGAAAATATTTGCAAATCACATATCTGACGAAGAACTTGTATCAAGCATATATATTAAATAACTCTGCAAAAAAAAACCTCTCAATTTTAAAAATGAATCAAAGACTTGAACAAATACTTCATCAAAGAATGTATAGAGATGGTAAATATACCCATGAAAAGATGCTCAACATCACTTATGTGGTGACAGTCAAGAAATAATGTACAACTGAAATCTCACATTGATGTAAGCTATTATGAACTCAACAACAACAAAAAAGATGCTCAACAACATTAGTTTTTAGGGAAACACAAATTAAAACTACAGTGAGATACTACTGCACACTAATTAGAATGGCCAAATTAAGAAGACTGACCACACCAAGGGCTGTGAGCATGTGGAGCAACTGGAGCCTCCTGCAGGCTGGTGGGAGTGCAAGATGGTACAGCTGCTTTGGAAAAGAGTTCCAACACACACCTACCATCTGACCCAGCCATTTCACTCCGAGGTATTCACCCTTGAGAAATGAAAACATGTCCATGCAAAGACTCGTGCATGAATGTTCATAGCAGCTTTATTTGTAAAAGTCAAAAACTGGAAACAACCCGGTGTCCATCTGCAGGTGAACGGATAAACACATTGTAGTATGTTCTTACAATGGAATACTACTCAGCAATGAAAAGGGGTAAACTTGATACATGCAACAACGTAGATGGGCCTCAGAACAGTTCATTACACTTGTGAAAGGTGTCAGACCAAAAAAGAGCATACTATAGGACTCCATTTATGTAACATTCTAGAAAATGTAAGCCAATCTGCGGGACAGCAGGAGGGAGCGACTGCAAAGGGGCACGTGGAACTTCTGGGCTTGATAGACAGATGTGTTTTCCTCTTTGATTGTGGTAATGGTTTCATGTGTATATACATATGCCAAAACTTGTCAAATTATACACTTTAAATGTGCACACCACATTGTATGTCAGCTATACCCTGCAAAACTCATACAGTATGGGGAGGGAAAATTGCTATGACCTTTGGAGTAAAATTTGTCAGTATGTATAAAATTTTTAATGTGAAACTTTTAGTGTAACAATTTTACTTCTAGAATTTATGCTATGAAAGTAATCACCTGATTGCACAAGGATATATGTGCAAAGCTGTTTGTAACAGGAGAAATTTGGAAAAACAGTTCTCTTGGTCCAGGACAAATTCACTTTAAACACACATAAAAGAGAAATTCTTGTGAAGGATCCACATAGAAGAGCAATTCTTGTGCAGTGACAGAATCCCAGCATTCTGCATTACTGGGAGGCATGCGAGATTCTTCTTAGAGCAGAGTTCTCACCGAGCTCGCACAGGGAGGGCTTCTTCACACAGCTGAGCTTGGTTCCCCCGGGAGCGAGGCTCCTGGACTTGCCTTCAGCCCCTGCAGGTTCCCCCTCGCAGGTGAGCAGGGTCAGCAGGAAGAGAATACACGCTTTAGTCAAGCGACATGTAATCTTTTGTTTTGGTGTCATCATCAGAAAATTTAGCTTATTTTTTAAAGGGAATTCAAAAAAGAAATATAAACCTTTTTAGCAGATTTTTATCAGATATTCTGTATTTTCATTATGTTTTAAAGGATATGATCTATGACCTTTGTAAAGAGCTGTTAAATAGATAAAACAAGTAGAACGTTGGTAGATGTGTATGTTTACTCTTTAAGCCCGTGTAAATGCAAAGCTTTTTCTTTAAGCCATTTTTCCATGATTGTTTCTAGAATAGGAAAGCCATGAAGGACCAAACTAAGCATACAACAAAGGAGAGGAGGACTGGTGCCCAGGGCACGCCGGGGCCGGCAGCCTTGGCTGCAGAGACAAGTAGTCTGGGTGCGTATTGTGAGGGGCTGGGGGTACAGCACAGTGACTCGAGCCTGGAAGATAGGCCGCTTGAGAAGCTCGCTCTCCTGTGGTGGAGAAGCCGGTCAGGAGGGGTGTGGTCTCTGACAGTTGTGTAACCAGAGAGACGAACACTCTTGTCTCCACTGAAGACCAAGCAGAGACTTGATGTTTTGGGTTCGATCCTTTAAGACTTTCCTGATTATGGACTATTCCTGTCGACCTTTTTGAGCTGGTCTCTCTCACGTCTTAGATGATAGTGCGTATGTAAAGTGGAAGAATGAATTGAGTGACCTATGTTTCTGCTCCCAGAAAGCTAACTTAATTTTCCTGACTGCCTAATGAAGCTCAGACAGGTTATTAGAGGGACTGTCTCGCTGTGGTGACGTGGAAGAGCTGACTCTGGTTGTATGGTAGCCCCCGTGGTGGCCTGGGCTGGTGTGTTCTCCAGCTGTCAGAGTGGTTTGAGCTCTCCCTAACACTGTTACTTCACTTTGAATGCAGTAAATGAAGTTCATATCCCTAAAGTGGGAGAGAAGGAATTTTTCAATCCAGTGCTCAATGAAAATCAGAAGTTAGCAGTTAGAAGAATTCTGAGTGGCGACTGCCGCCCACTGCCATATATTCTTTTCGGACCTCCTGGAACTGGGAAGACAGTGACGATAATAGAGGCCGTTTTACAGGTAAAGACAGGCCGCGGCACAGTGGGCAGTGAGCATACCTGTGTGCGGTGTCCATGTCGTCAGGAAGCCTAGCTTACGTTGTCGAATCAGAAGATTGGATAGAGCTTGAAAAGTTACAGTTATTTCATATTTAGCTATGTTTGTTTTGTTATTGTTTGTGAATATGTAGGATTTTAAAAGGTTATTTCATAAAAGTTTAGAAAAGAATCTCTTCATTTTTGGAATAGTAAACCAGTCACATCATGAGATTTTGCTGCAGAAAAGAAGTTTCCTTTCCATTCTAAGAAGTTTCTGGTGTCTCTGTTTATCTTTACAGTTGAGTTTGTGGAGATAGTACGTGTTTAGTATTTTTGCGTCATTCAGGATTCAGGTTCCCAAATGTGTGCTGAGTGCCCAGCCAGCACTCGGCTACAGCTGGCATGTGGGGATTAATCTGACACGGTCTCTGCCTTGGGAGGTTGGTTTAGGGTCTTGGAGAGCTCAGAGAACCCTCACCTACCCTTGAGTCTTGTTGGGACGTTGGGCCGTGGGCAGAACCATCACTGTGTGTCATTGGGCTATGTCTCAGGCGTGTGAGGGGTTGATGTGAGCACAGGCATGTCAGACTCACCACTCCACGTCTGCACTTGATGGGTTGACATTTATCATCCTTTGTTTCTTTTGTGTCCTGGATGAAGATGTACTACACTTTGCCAGACAGTCGGATTTTGGTCTGTGCGCCCTCCAACAGCGCTGCTGACCTTGTGTGTTTGCGGCTACACGAGAGCCAGGTGCTGCGGCCAGGCGCCATGGTCCGTGTGAACGCCACCTGCAGGTTCGAGGAGGTGAGTGTGGGAGAGCCAGGATCGAGAAATGACTCTCACTTGTGCCATAGCTGGTGCCTAAATGAGAGTTTTATTCCTGAATATTTAATTATATTCTCATGCTTCCTCTATGAATTGGGCATGCTCGGCTTTATTAAACATTAATGCTACTCTTTTATTTGATCCCCAAGTGTATTGTTTCTTTTTGGCTCTGTTTTATTGGTTTGGCTATAAGTGTCCCTTTAGGAAAATTAAAAGTTCCTGGTTTGCTTGTAGGGTGAAGTATTGATAAACAAAAGAAATCGAACCTAGAAAATATATAAAGAATGATCTGCAGGATTATGTGTTAGATTCATGGCTCCAGAGTCCGTAAAACACTGACTAAATTGATAGGAAGGTATAAAAGATTCTGATGTAAGAAAACACGTTAAACCATTCCTGAGTCATAACTGAGAAGTGGCAACAGGACAGGGTTATCTTTTGGAATTCTTTCAGCTTTGCAATTGTGTTCAACTTAAAGAAATGCTTAATAATTTGGAAAACAAACTGGCTCCACTCCCTCCCTTCAGACCATCATCGATGCCATCAAACCGTATTGCAAAGACGGAGAAGACATCTGGAAAGCCTCGCGCTTCAGGATCATCATCACAACATGCAGCAGCTCCGGGCTCTTCTACCAGATAGGGGTGAGGTGAGCACTGGGCGTGGTTTGGGGCTGGGGCCCACACGGGTGAAAGTCTGTGCCCTCTCAGAGCCAGTGCCTGAAGGGAGGCCATCAGCACGGGGGAGTGTGTGCTGTGCAGGGTGCCAGAAACTGGGCTGTAGCTGGGGGCTTGAACGGGGCAGGGAAGGCCTTTCCAGGGAAGTGATGTTTGCACTGAGACCCCAAAGATGAGAGGGACCCAGAGCTTTCCCAAGAGGGCAGAGGATGAGGAAGGACCTAGCGTGCCCAGCTGGGGAGAAGCCCAGGACCAGCCCAAGGCAGGAAGGAGCTTGGTTTGGTGGAGGGACAGAAGGTGCCAAGGGGACAGGGACAAGAAGAGGTCAGCGAGCGGAGGTGGCAGAACCAGCACGCAAGTGGGTGGGGGTGCTGGTGCCAGGGCTTCAGGAAGCTTGGAAGGTGTGAAGAAGGAACAATATAGTCTGCTAGAAGTAACTGAATAACTATGATTAATACAGAATTGAAAACCTAAGTGCTTATATTCTAAAAAAAATACATAATGTTAAATTTTTTCAGCAGAAGTTGGGACATGAGGTAGGAAAATGAAAGTGTGCTGATTTCCTCATCTTCCGTAGAGAGGGGTCAGTGGGTGTCTTTTTGGAGCTGAGAGCTTGAGATTTACAAATTCAAGACCATGTTTAAAGGTGTAAACTGACTGACTATGGAAGAGAAAGGTGAGGGGCCCGCACTGCTTCTCTGAGCAGAGCAGGAGCAGGGCTTCCAGCAGGTGTCTGACAGCAATCCCATGGGGAGACCCGAGGCTCAGGCTTGGCCCAACACTTGTCCTGTAGGCAGTAGCTCTGCAGCTTTAGGCACGGTATCCCACAGGCATTACTGTAGGGCAGTGGCTGCTCCTCAGCCAGCCAAGGGGAAGGCTGCCCAGGCCCAGAGCACAGGCTCAGTGCTGTCCTCTGGGTTCCTGCTGACGTGGAGGGTCAGGGTGCTGCCCTGGCTGAGGGATGTGCTCATGAGGGTAAATCATGAGGCAGAAGGAGGTGGAGGGCAGCAGTCACCGTGTAGGAGCATAGCCCCAGCACCCCACCTTGACCAAATCACCCCGACCTCACGTCAGCCACATCAGGGAAACTGAGGCACAGAGAAGTGATACAACCTGCTCAAGGCATGAAGCTAATAAGTGGTGAAGCCTGGACTCCACCCCAGGCATTCTGACCCTGGGGTGTGTTGTCAGTCCCCAGCTACAAACACAGGCGTAAGGAGCATGGGCTCCAATGCGGACTGCATGTGGCCGACTTGCCCGTGGCAGGTGCTCGTTAGTTTGTTCCCTCCCATCCCTCACTTGTCTTCCCTCTGAGTCTTTTTAGACACACACATATATTGTGCACAGAGTCCCAGTGCTGGGGGAGTTCCTTTAGGGCCCCTAAAGGCTCCCATGGTGCAGACTCGGCTGTGTGCTGTGTGTGAGGCGTTGGCTGCTAAGACATCCTGACAGGAATGACCATTTACAACATCTTTGGCTCTAGAGTCGGACACTTCACACACGTGTTTGTGGATGAAGCAGGTCAAGCAAGTGAGCCAGAATGCCTGATTCCTCTGGGGCTGATTTCAGACATCAGTGGCCAGGTGAGGCCCGTTTGCTCTGTGTGCATGTTGTTCTCCCTGTCTTCCTGCAGTGGTGGACGCTCTGTCTGTGCAGGACAGTCTCAGGGTAATGGGCTTGGGGGAGACCCGAGGACACGGGACCCATGAAGCCGCGATTATGTTGTCATACACTTCATTCCTTTTGGACTTGGGGGAGGTGGCTGCTTTGCGTCACATTCATTCACTTGTAAAACATGCTAAGAACTGTGGGTGCAGAGCACAGGGTGAGGGCAGCACCTCCGGCTCCTGCTCTCTGCAAGCTGCAGTTAGGCGAGGAGATCTGGGCATTGCCCTGACTTGCCATCCCAGATCTGACTGTTCTGCTCCCTCCTGCCAGCTGCCTTAAGGGAGGAGCCATGCCTGCTACACAGAATGTTTATGTCCACTTTATTTTTTATTTTTTGAGGAAGATTAGCCCTGAGCTAATTGCTGCCAGTCCTCTTCTTTATTCTGAGGAAGACTGGCCTTGAGCTAACAGCCTCTACTTTATATGTGGGACGCCTACCACAGCATGGCTTGCCAAGCAGTGCCATGTCCACACCCGGGATCCAAACCGGCTAACCGTGGGCCGCCGAAAGCGAAATGTGCCAACTTAACCACTGCACCACCAGGCCAGCCCGTGTCCACTGTATAGATGAGGAAACAGGCTTATCTGGATGAAGTGACTGGCTCAGTTACTCAGTGGTGAAACTTGGGGTGCAGTCCCGTCAGGCTCACTGCAGAGCAGAGGTCCCCATGCAGTTCTGCCCCATGAGTGACCTTACGCCTCACAGAGGAGGAAAAGCAAAGCTCAGGGAACTACATCGACGTACAAGAGACACTTGTCTCATCCATGGCAGAGCTTGGGTGATGGTGTGCATCTAGTTGTCCTAGGCTTAGTCCTGGCCGTTTTCCTATTTGCACTTGCTGCTTCCTCTGCTATTCACCTGTGATGGTGACCTGGGGTCATTTTGAACTCCCCCATCCCTCCCCCCTCTATCCTGCACACTCCCTCAAAGAGTGACCTTTCAAGCCCCAGGTCCCCCCTCCTCCAGTCTTGATCAGAGACAATGGGGAAGCAGGCTTAGTCCAGCTAGGACGTGGCCCCCAGCAGGCTGCCTCCGCAGGCAGCTGCATCCAGGTCTAGGAAGCCACTGGGGCAGGAGAGACAAGGGGCAGCATCAGGGAGAAAGATGGCACAGCAAAGACTTCCAGAAGACAGGGACGAGGCTGCCGGGTCAGTCTGTGGAAGGACTGCCCCACGAGGGAACTTATGTCTCCAGCCTGTTTGGTTTGTCCATTGCCACTGTCCTTATCCAAGCCCTTGTCCTTTTGTGCACCAGCAGGGGCGGGGATGGGGGTAATTCCAGCCATGGAGCTGCATTTGCAGAGCCTTGGCCAGCCAGTCAGAGGGCCAGAGGCCCGCCTGTGGCTTTCACTGTCCTGCTCACCATCCACACACTTGCCCATTTGGGGCTGAGAGTCTGTGTGTGACTGTCGTCAACTCTCCCCCTGCACTGGTATGGGTGCCAGTGGGTGCCTGTTGTGTGCTACAGATTATCCTTGCTGGAGACCCCATGCAGCTCGGACCGGTCATCAAGTCCAGACTTGCCATGGCCTATGGGCTGAACGTTTCTATGTTGGAAAGACTGATGTCCCGACCAGCGTATATGAGAGATGAAAACGCTTTTGGTGCCTGTGGTGCCTACAACCCCTTGCTGGTAAGGTCAGACTCCACGTGGTGTTAGGGTTCCCCACTAAGGTGACAGCAGAGTCCTAGTTGAGCAGAAGATGCCTCACGGGGGAGTGACTAAGGGCCCCCCAGAGTCCCTGCAGCCTCTGTACTGCTCTTGGCTCACCTCCCTGTGTCCCCAAGCCACACCTGGGGGAGGCCCAAACAGCTCGCACGCACCTCTCCCACACCCCAGAGTGGACTTCAGGCACTTTCACGAGCTCCTCTGTCCCAGGAACTCAGAAATGTACTTTGCAGGATCCCCTGAGGGGTCAGAGATTCCAGGCAGTGTAAGGCTGATGGCCAAGGTTCTGTGGGGCCAGACAGAGTAAGAGAGCATAAATCCGTGTCAGTGTGGGTGAACGGAGGGGAACTTTCTACCTTCACCTGGAGGAAAGGCAGCATCTGCTGTGGTCTCCTGAGGTGCTGAGTAAGGTGCAGGTTCTGGCTTCTCAGCCGACCTCAGCCCACTTTGGAGGGATGGGCCTTGGAATCAGTGTGTTAGGAGCTCCCAGCACACTGGAGCTTGGGAACCTTGGGTCTCTGGGGCCCCTCATTAAGGTCAGCCAAGTAGCATATTCTCTGAGCGGCTACAGTATAGAAACAAGGGGAGATTCCCATCTGAACATAACATTGAACAGAAAATGAGATGTGGGTTGTGGGCAGGTTTTCAGGGAAATAGCCTGAAACCTATGCCAGGTCGTCAGCCCCTGGGCCCTTTGCGCCCCTGGAGCATAGAGAGGGCAAGGGCGTGGAGCAGAGAGGTCATGTGGGAGGAGGGCAGGGCCAAGAGATCGTTGTCTTCAGGCTGAGGACGGCCTCACGAGGGGCCACCCGTAGGAGAGGTGCCTGTGGTCAGAGGAGCTGCACGAGGGGTCATCAGGAGGCTCTGAGGAGCCTATGAAACTGCCCCAAGACGAGCCAGAGCCAGCGCCAGCTGTGGACTTGTGCTTGGCCCAGACAGCGCCACAAAGGGCTCTCCTGCCCATAGGAGATGCACATCTGCCCACCAGGTGTCCATGTCCCTTGGGCTTGCTAGTGGCTTTTGGTGAGGAGGGTCCTGAGACGAGGGTGGAGTGATGTGGCCCCTGTGCCACAGACAGTGCTACCGCCTGGCCTCCTGCAGGCAGGTGCCTCAGCCTGTGGCCAGGCGCTTGGCAGAGGGTGGCAGAACATGTCGACCTGACTGCCCTGCACCTCCTTCCCTCTCCCCAGGCGTGGAGCCACTCCGAGTCCCTAGGGCAGAGCACGCCTCTCCCCCAGTTAGCTGACAGCTGTCCAGGCTAACGTAGGGCCTGGCTTTGCTGTGATGCTACATGGAGTTTGGGGTTTTGATTAGCGTCTTGGAGGCTGGACACATTGTAATTATGAACTGAAGCTTGTTAGCATGAGTCAGCAGGAAAGTCCTGAGGCCTATGGGCATTGTCACTCCTGGTACAAGGGAAAACTGCTTCCGTGGAATGAACTTCCCAGGCCAGTGGCAGGCAGAGAGTAAAGTTGTTCTTGCTCCACATACTGGTGACTTTGTCACCAGCAGCTTTCAACAAGGTCCCAGCTAGGCCTTCTGGGGCTGCCTGCGGGCTGGGGGGATATGCATTTGAGTGCACCCTCTGTGCCCTTAGCCACCCTGGCCTTGGGACCCAGGAGCCTGTCCCTGCCTGCAGCTGAGCTGAGACAAGGCTGCCTGGGCTTTGTTCAAAGGCCAGGGTCGCAGGACGGTGAATCCAGAGCACAGCTCGCAGACAGACACACGACCGGCCCACAGGGGAGACTCTCCTCAGCTGTCCAGACCCAGGAGACAGTCCTAGAGGCTTTCTCCTCTTTTCTTTTGCTGATAGTCACCTTTTGTAGTAAAAAAGTTGTCTGAGGTGCCAGAGCACTTCCTGCTCAGGAGGCAGGTGACAGGCCAGGAGAAGGGACAGGCAGAGGTGGGGAGGGCTGCCTGGCGGTGTGGTTTGAGCTGAGTCTCAGCAGTTTCCCTCTGACAGAAATGTCTTGTGCTGACATTGGCCGTGGACTTGCTGCCTGCTCTCTGCTCGCAGGTTACGAAGCTCGTGAAGAACTACAGATCCCACTCGGCTCTGCTTGCACTGCCGTCCAGACTGTTCTACCACAGGGAGCTCGAAGTCTGTGCCGACCCCAAGGTGGTGACCTCCTTGCTGGGCTGGGAGAAGTTACCAAAGAAAGGCTTCCCCCTCATCTTTCACGGCGTGAGGGTGAGTTGTGGACCTGCCACTGACCTCGATGTGGCACAGGAGGAAGTGGCTCAGCCTTGCAGTGACTGAATGACCCCTAGTGCTGATCCCGGGGTTCAGTGCGTGTGTTTTCATCAGTTCAGCCATTGACAAAGTGTTTGCCTAGTGCCTGTCATGGAGCAGACGCGTGCTGGTCCCTAAAGAGCAGAACCAGTAGGAGGGGCCTCTGCCCCACAGCCCTCAGGTGATCACACACACACAGGGCCCAGGAGAATGCCAGCCCAGAGTGGGATGGAAGGGGAGCACCCTAAAGGAGTTTGTGGGAAGCATATTGACGAGCTCACGGGATTGATGGGAAGGCTGGGGAGACAAGCAGGCAGAATGGCGGGAAGCTCCTGCCACCCCCACGAAGACTCACCACCCTTCTGAGAACCAGTGTCAAGCGAGAAAACCGACCTGGGGACACAGCCTTCCCTCTCCCTGTGGCCTCACTGGCTGGGGCGTGGCCCAGCAGGGGGAGTTAGATGCTCAGTAGCCAAAAAAATGACAAGTGTTCACTAAAATCAGTGTGTTTGTGCTAGAAATGTGGTTGTTAGAACCAGAAGTCAGGTTTTGCATTAACTCCCCCAAGTTCTCATCCAGTGTCAGAGCTATGCAGACTCCAGGATGGGGCAAGCTGGTGCCAGGGTGCCCGTCCCTCTCCTCTCTGAAGGCCGTCTTCCTTCCCGTGATAGCACCCCCTCTAGACAGCCTCTAGATTTGCCTGCTCCATCAGAAGTGGATGGAAGACAGTGGAGCTGTGTGTACAGGTGTGGCTCTGGGGTGCCACTGTGGATGGGGAGAGTTCAGGGATGGGGGAAACCAACACCTCACAACATGGTCCACTCAACATGAGTGCCTCATTGGCTGGTGCTTTCTCCCAGTGTCATGTGCTGTTCCCCTCCTGGGAACACTCTTCTCCAGCTCTGCCCATTGTCAGAAGCTTCCCTGTATGTCAGAAAAAACACATTTCTAATTTAGAAGCTGTATCTCGAGGTCAAAGGTCCCTCTGACGCACGCAGAGGTCAGCCTAAGGAGAACGAAGCGTAATCGCTGCCGAAAGAGCCAGAGAGCTTAGCCTGCGTGAGTGAGCTCGGACAGGCTTGACGTCTGCGAACAGAGGCCATGCATAGAGGGGTCAGTTCTGCCCAGGTTCATCCATACGTCTCATGTGGTCTACGTAGAAGTCACAGTGGGCTCCTCCATGAGAAGCCAAGTGTAGAATGGGGTTGTGATTGTGCAGAAAGATTTTATAGGAGAAAAATGAGAACAAAGCCCACTGGATGACGTACTACGGAGCTCTAGTAAACACAAGTGCACAGTGTGGAAAGAACAGTCCAGAAGCATTGATGAGTCTCGTGAGTGCTTTGGAGGGCCTGGCTGCGTGCTCCATTCCAAGCCCTGGGGGTTAAATGGAGGCACGGCCTCTCAGGCTAGGTTGCAGAGAACATGGTCCATTCCCAACATTTAAGAAAAAAGGGTTTTATCACCACTTGTTAACTGGCCGCAGGATTGCTGGCCGGGCCTGGCCATTGCTTGCCCTTGGCCCCCACAGGTCCCCTCCAGTCCCCAGGATGCAGTTTCAGACGCCCTCCCCAGCGCGGACCCTGTCCACACAGCTTCACCTTGACCCTCGCCTCCTGGTGGCCCTTCCCCCGAGGAAACTCCAGAAGGACCTCTGTCTGACTGCTCTGTCCCCATGCCCAGTGCCTCCCAGCAGAGGGAGCTCAGCAGAACATGCTGCACGAACACCAACTCCATCGGGGTGGCATGAGCCCCAGGATCGCCCACAGAGGGGCCACCCAGGTGGCTGTAGTCTCGTCCTCCTAAAGAAGCAGAGTTGGAGCCTCTGTCACGGTGGGCAGGTGGCTTGTCTCTGGCTTCTTTCCACAGGCTAGGACGATGGCAGAGTTAAAGCGTAAGATAGCGACTGTCTGGCCCTTTATATGCGAGATGTGTGCCAACCTCTGGTCTAATTGAAAAGCTAGCTTTGGACTTCTCCTGTTAGCTTTCTGCTTCACTAGTTTCAGCTTTATCTTCACTTCTTCCCTCTGACTCACTCATTTGTCTTCATTCTGTTTGGTTCTCACAAAGTGAACACTTGGTTCCTGGGCTCTTCGTCTCTCGGCAGGGAGCACTATGGCAGCAGCACCCTCAGCTGTCACTCTGCCTCTCCGAGTCTGTCTCCCAAGGGGCCCTTTCTCTGTGGCTTTCTAGATACTTGTGATTTTCTCTTTAGTTTTTTTTTGGTCAAAGCACTATAGAGAAGTATTTTTCTTAATTTCCAAGTGGCTAAGAATGTTTTGGTCACCTCTTTTTTATTTCTAATTTGATTAAGTTCTGATCAAGAACTATGGCCTGTAAATTCTGTGCTTTTAAAAATTTATGGCCTTGGGGCCGGCCCCATGGCCGAGTGGTTAAGTTCGCGTGCTCCACTTCAGTGGCCCAGGGTTTCCCTGGTTCAGATCCTGGGCGTGGACATGGTACCACTCATCAAGCCATGCTGAGGTGGTGTCCCACATGCCACAGCTAGAAGGACCCACAACTAAAAATACACAACTATGTACCAGGGGGGCTTTGAGGAGGAGAAGGAAAAATAAAAAAAAAATTAAAATAAAAATTTATGGCTAAATAGCTATCAGTTTTGGTAAATGTTCTAAGGACATACCAAAAAACATATATTCTCTTTTTGATGGATGTAAGTTCCATATGCATTTTTAAAATGTTTACGGAATCTGTTATTTAACTCTTCTGTGACTTGACTTAGATTTTGTCTACTAGATAGTCCCACTAGTGGGAGAACAGTGGTGAAGTCTCACATCGTATTTTTTTTTATCGAATTCTCTTTGGATTTCTAATAGTTCTTGCCTTATGTATTTAACTGCTGTGCTGTGTTGTGTGAGTTTATGAGTGTTTTATCTTCCTCATTATGTCGTGTGTTTTTAGCTTTAAATTCCATCTTACAATAATATTAATCTTACCCCTCCTTTTTTCTTACTATCTGGTATCTGTGTTCATTCTTTCTTTATCATTTTACTTTAGGTGTATTTCTTAGAAGCAGCCAGTTTGAGGTAAATCAGTCCAGCCTATGGTTATTTAACTGCCTTCCTTCATCTGACCCTCAGGACTTGTTGTTTCCCCCTTTTCCTTGTTGTTTGTCATTATTTGGTTGATAGTCACTGCGTGTTTTTCTCTGCGGTTTAGTTCATCTATAAGCCTCCATCCCATTAACCTTTTTTCAGTTATCTCAATCGTTTATTATAAACCTAAGGGATAAATTGCATATGGCTTAAAGACAGAAAGAAATACATTCTGAAAATTAATAGATTCTTATTGCCTTATCTGGTGTTCCTTTTTTTTAAATCGTGGTAAAATACACGTAACATAAAATTTGCCGCGGTAGCCATTTTAAGTACACAGTTCAGTAACGTTAAATATGCTCACATTGTTCTGCAAGCAATCTCTAGAACTTTTTCATCTTCCCAAACTGGAACTCTGTCTCATTAAACACTGGCTCCCCTCCCCCTCCCCCTCCCCCTGGTGCCCACTGCTCCGCTCTCTCTGTCTATGGATTTGACAGCTCTAAGGGGCCTCATATGAGTGGAGTCGTCAGTATTTGTCCTTTTGTGACTGGGGCTTATTTCCCTCAGCATAATGTTTTCACAATTCATCTGTGTTGTGGCATGTGTCAGAGTTTTCTTCCTTTTTAAGGCTGAATAGTATTCCACTGTGTGGATAGACCACATTTTGTTTATCCATTCATTTCTTGATGGACACTTGGGTTGTTTCCACCTTTTGGTTATTGCAAATAATGCTGCTATGAACATGAGTGTGTGAATATTTATCTGGGTCCCTGCATTCACTTCTTTTGGCTATAGACTCAGAAGTAGAATTGCTGGTGGTAATTTTATTTTTAATATTTTGAGGAACCAACGTACTGTTTTCCACAGCAGCTCCACCATTTTACATTCCCACCAGCAGTGCACAAGGGTGCAGTTTCTCCATATCCTCGCCAACACTTGTTGCTTTCTGTTTTTTTGATGGTAGCCATCCTAATGGGTGTGAGGTAGGATCTCATGTTTTGATTTTTATTTCCCTCATGACTGGTGCTGTTGAGCACCTTTTCATGTGCCTCTTGGTCATCTGCATGTCTTCTTTGTTGACTGGCTAAGAGAGCAAGCGAGCCCATGCCTGCATGGAGGGAGGGAGTGGAGTCTGAGTGAGTGGTCGGACACGTGGCCTCTGGCAGGGCCCTGCTGCAGCCTCCTGGACTGACCACAGCTAGCCATGGAGTCTGCTCTCACTGTGGCTCCCTGTGCGTTGGCTACATTGGCCTTCTTTTCCTTTCTCTAGCATACTCTGATGCTTCTGCAGGGGGTGCCCCACATGCCCTCACTCACGGTGGGGCTGCTCTTTGCCCAGTAATTCCTGCATACATGTCAGTCGGCACGAGCCTTGCTGACCTGCCACTCCTATGTTGACAGTCCCCCAAATCGCAGACTTGTCTAGCCAGTCCTTTTTCTTTGTGCTCTTGCTGTAGCTGGGATCAATTTCACGATTACTTATCATTATTCTGCCCTGCTGGAATGTGAATTCTGCATGAGAGCAGGGATTGTCTCTGCCTTGTCCATGGTGTGTTCCCAGCATCTCCTTCTGCTCCTTGTTCATAGACCCTGAACCAGCGTTCATTGAGTACTTGATGTTTTGTGATGGACGTGCCTTCTCTGTCTCCTAACTCACTCAGGGCAACGAAGCTCGTGAAGGGAGAAGCCCATCGTGGTTCAACCCGGCTGAAGCTGTCCAGGTCATGCGCTACTGCTGCCTCCTAGCCAGGAGCGCCTCGAGCCAGGTGTCTGCCAGTGACATCGGTGTGATCACACCCTACCGGAAGCAGGTGTGGACCTGCTCCAGCAAACTTGTTTTGTGCTTCCTTGTTCGAGGAGGCCGCAGAGGAAGGTGGAAACAGGCTGGTGAAGTGGCCCCAAGTCCCTCTTGAGTTGTCTCCACAGCTCACTGCTCCTGCGCTGCTGTACCGCAGCCTGGGGCGAGCCCTTTATCTCTCCGGCGAGTGACCCCGCGGCCTGGGCGTGTTGAGTGAGCCCACCTCTGTTTGCTCACCTGTCACTGGGCATGAGGATGTCCCCTCCCCTGGGTTGTGAGGGCATCTAGTCAGCCAGGGCTGTGTGTGCTTGCTGCAAGCTCCCCAGCCTCCCTGTTGTCGCCTGGTGTCCCTCTGCTGCCTGTGCTGGGCTAGCAGGCCGTCTCCCACATCTTATTTCCATCAATGCCTCCTGGTGCTCATGGGCAGGCGCAGCCAGGCACACTCAGCCCACCCTACAACCGGAGTCCTGTCAAACGGGGAGTGGGCTGCTTGTGGGATTATCCTTGAGTTGTCAGGGGCTTGAGAATCTTCCTGTTTATTGGCCATTTCTTCATGTCTTCCTTAAGCTGCGTGTTCACGTATAGAGCCCACTGTAAATTGACTTCGGGCATGCTTTATTCTCAGCGGTTTGTAGTTTTCAGCATATTCTGGATCCCAGGTCCTGGGTAGCTGTGTGTGTTGTGGACAGCATCTCTGATGGGCATTTGTCTTTGCTGATGATTTCCTGTATGTGTATTATGATTTGTGCTCTTTGTATCTGAGAAGCCCTTCCTTATCCTGATGTTGTGAAGTGTGTCCCACTTTTCTTCTGAGACTGTAAGTATATGCTTCTCACCTGTGCATCTCTCATCCACCTGGATCTGTTTCCGGGTGTAGCCTGAGGTAGGGGTCTGAGTTTACTTTTCCATTGTGTGTCATCCCTTTAGTGAACGTCCAGCCTGTTTCTCAGTGTTGTTGCCTTCTGTGGCACACCAGCTTCTCCTGCGTATCTTCCTGAGGCTGCCTCTGTCCAGGGCTGCTGCCACGCATGCCAGCAAGTTGGCGTCTGGGAGTGACGACTCCTATCTTCACACTCACCATCCTGAGTCTTAACTTTGTGCTCTTTCTTGTGAATTTTAGGAATTCCACCTTTTTTCAAAAAGCATTTTTCTCTTTGGCAGCAATTTATCAATGTGTCTTAACTGTTTTGAATTTTGGTTTTGCTTACCTTTGCTTCTGACATCCCACTTAGTTTTTCTGGGTTTGTGTTTCTTCTGAGGTTTGTCTTTTTATAGTTATTTCAGCAAAGGCCTGTGAGTAGCAAACAAAATATGTGTATTTAACCACCTCACTCTTGAATTTTAGTTCAGCCGTTTGCCTCAGTTCTTTGAAGACGTTATCCCTGTTGTCTTGGAACATGTACTGTGCTGAAAAAAATCTACTCTGCCTGACTTTGTTTTTAAATAATGTTCTTTTTTTCCATAGTTTTAATATTTTCCCTTTATTCTTTTTTTTTTTTAAAGGAAGATTAGCCCTGAGCTAACTACTGCCAGTCCTCTTCTTTTTGCTGAGGAAGACTGGCCCTGAGCTAACATTCATACCCATCTTCCTCTACTTTGTATGTGGGACGCCTACCACAGCATGACTTTTGCCAAGCAGTGCCATGTCCACACCCGGGATCCGAACCGGCGAACCCCAGGCCGCTGAGAAGCGGAACGTGCGAACTTAACCGCTGCACCACTGGGCCGGCCCCTCCCTTTATTCTTGTTGTTGTATGGTTTCACCACAAAATAATCTGGGTGTGATTTCTCTCCCTGCTGGGGCCTCATGACTGGTTTGGACGGATGTGTCACGTGTGTGTGTGTGCATCCCCCGCTGCTCTGGAACTCCTGGGGGCATGTGTCCTGCCTCCCCGTCTGCCGTGGGTCCGAGCCTCTGTCTGTCTGACTCATCTAGGAACCTTCCCCCAGTGCGCCCCCGCTCCCTGGCCACCAAGCTTTCTTTTTCCCAAGATTTCAATCTGGTTCTTTTTGCTGCTGTGGCCTGCGCTTTTCTGTCTCCAGAGGCCTTGAGCACACCTGAGCCCTGTGTGGAAGACGCTCATTCCCATCCTCTCAGAGCTGGCCCGCCTCCTGTTGGCTCCTCTTCACTTTTCACAAAGTTCCTCTTCCCCTGGCTTCCCGTTACGGTCGCCACCTGCTGCGTGCAGCCCTTTCCAGGCTGCTTTTGTCACATGGGCTCGGGCCCTGCAGTGTGGCATCCCCAGAGGGGCTCTTTGTTCCCTCCTCCCATACCCCACCGAGCGTCCCAGCGCTGTCCCCACGGAGACGTCCATCTCACTCTAAGCAGTAGGTGTGTTTCCTCACCTCTTGACACACCATGGCTCCGTTCTTGCTCTGCACGGGTGGGGAGAGGGGAGATCTCCACACGAGACAGCACTCCTGAGGGCTGACCCCTCCCCGCCGTGGACTCCATCTAAAGTCTGTATCTGGGCTCTAATCAACTGAGATTTGATGGAATATGATTTGGAATTGAAAAACAGTATTGGACATTACTTAATATTCACTTATGCTGTAACATGTAAAGAAATGCTCAGATTTGTAGAATGTATTTAATCTTTCTTTTTTATCTGCTTCAAAGGTGGAGAAAATCAAAATTCTTTTGAGAAATGTTGATCTGATGGATATAAAGGTTGGCTCAGTAGAGGAGTTTCAAGGGCAAGAATGTTTGGTTATCATCATCTCAACTGTAGGTATCCCTGTTTCTAGTGGGGTAACTGCGTCGGAGGTCGCTTGATATTCATTGGTTTCTTGGCACATCCAAACAGGAAGAGGCAGAGGCTGAGACGCCGGTAATGTAACGGGGAGATGCGGGTGTGGGATGGAGGCTCCGTGCCCCAGGCATCATCTCAAGCAGTACTTGTAGGGAGTTCTTTTTAAAAACCTGAAGATCAGCAGACAAAAAGTAAAGAAAAGGAATCCAGGAAGAAATGGTCCATGTGTCAGAGAAGAAGGACAAGATGCGAAAGAGGGAAGGAAACGGGGGAGTAGAGTGGGAGGGCATCTGAAAGGAGGGTACCCAACCTCCCAAATACATATACATGCACACAGTGGCTTCTGTGCTGCGGCCCAAGGAAAACTAAGTTCCTCTCAAAACTCTGTTTCCTATTTTTAAATTATCTTTATTGAACAGAGTATTAATTACAGAAAAGTTAGAAAATCCAGGTAGGAAAAAAATAAGAATCACCTAAAACCCTACACCCAGAAGTGAGGGATTAGTGTTTGGAGGGTCCCCTGTGTGTAGACAGAGAGGCCTTGAGGCCTGCTCTCCGCCAACCCTGCCCCACTTCCTGGCCGCTTCTTTCTTTTTTAACCAAAAATGGGGTCGTACTGATGTTTAATGTTTCTAAATGCTTTTATACGTCAAGTTTCTTTCCATGTCAAAAAATCTTAAGATGCTGGTTTTATTTCTCTTTGCGTTTTTTAGGTACGGTCAAATGAAGATAGTTTTGAAGATGATCGATATTTTTTGGGTTTCTTGTCCAACTCAAAAAGATTTAATGTTGCAATCACCAGACCCAAAGCCTTGCTGATTGTGCTGGGAAATCCTTACGTTCTCGTCAGAGTGAGCTGCGACTGTGTGGGCTGAGTCACCTCGGGAGAGGGCTTGGGTGACAGGGCCCCACTGGACACGCTGGGGTGGGAGGTGGCCCAGCCCTCCCCTGTGTCAAGGCCGGCTCCTTTGTGTTTCAACAGGATCCCTGCTTTGGTGCTTTGCTGGAATACAGCATCACAAACGGGGTTTACACGGGTTGCAACCTACCTCCTGAGCTGCAGTCCCTGCAAGAGTAAGCTCTTCTTTGGTCTCCCTGAAGGATGGGCCCCAGCCCTCCCCCTCCCAGCAGGCCCCACCTCACCCACTGCCCCTGCCGGCCTCAGCCTCATTGGGAGGAGCAGGCCCTGCCTCATAGGCTGCAGTGCCCAGTCCTGGGGGGTCATTTAGGGTCGGCATCCCCCTTCCCCAGCACAACTTTAAATAGGGAAATATAAATGCCCCTTTTAAAGACCACACTGGGGAGAGAGCCTGAGCCACAGTGGGGGGGCCCGACTCAGTGGCCCCTCGCCTTTACCCATCTGCAGCTGTGGCTAGGTACAGCCTGCCCTTCCCTACCCACCAGAGCCAGGACCCGCAGAACGGGAGATGACTGCATCCGGAGCCCCCTGTTGACGAGGGATGGCCAGTGACGCCATGCACCACACCCTGAGGAGCTGCTGTCCCTGTGCCGTGGCCTGCCTTGTCTCACGGTCTAGGCCACAAGTGTGGGGGCCACTGGGTCTGATGGAGCCTGCTCACGCTGCCATCAGCTCTGCATGTCAGCCTGTTCCTGCCACTGGGTAGTTACTGCAACCCATCACCAAAATAAATGCTCTAGTGGGACACCCACATGGCTTTCCACCTTGACATGCACCTGTTGGGGGACAGTTATGCTTTCACATGACCTCTGACCCCTGCTGTGCTGGCTTCCCTCTCCAGGTCCTTGAGCTTGTGTTCACTTTTCGTGCTGGCTGGACAAAGCCTAGGGGCTCTGCCTGGGGACTGGCCATCCAGGGAGAGCTGGGGTCAGCCTCTGTGCCAGCCCTGACCTGTCTGCCCACTCTGACCAAGAGCCAGCCTATTGATGCAGATCTTTTGGGAGCTGTTTCTAGGGAAGTCTGGAAGTGTTCCTTTGTGAACAGCACCGGGCTTGGGACCCACCCCCAAGTACTCAATAAGGCTGCCTTAGACATACATTTCTGAGTCTCTGGCCGTGGGTCTCAATGAGGCAGGGATTTGCTACAGAGGGATGAGAGGTCAGGCAGGGCCGGGAGGGCGGCGGCTGCAGACACTCTTCGGTGAGTCCTGCGCTTCCACCACACGGAAGGCGGAGCCTGGGGGAGGCGGCAGCAGTCTGTGCGGGAGGCAGAGCCAAGCCTTTGGCCGGGATACCACCAGATGTTCAGGCTTGCTGTCCATGTGACCAGGAACAGACTGTGGAACACTGAGGCTCGGGACCCCCAGCCCAATATACCCGCAGACAGGTAGGGGGTGCCGAGCAGGTAGACAGAATTGTGGGAAGCACTTTGAGAATGAAGTTTCAAGTCCCACAGGCTGCATGACTCCTTGCTGAGGCCTGTGCTGGCACTTGTGTTTGGAGCACTTCCTGCTTCCTCCAGGAAGGCAGTGGGATGGGGGGCTGCAGGGGGTGTGTGTGGAGGCCCAAGCAGAGCCCCCAGGCACTTCAAGAGGAAGCACATGGCAGGGGGCTGGCCGCGGCCGTAAGACCCTGCTTAGCCCTCCTGCACCAGTAGCCGGTCCTGGACACGTGCAGCCAGAGGCTGGTGGCAGGCTCCGGGGCCGAGCTTTCTCACCTGTCCAAGCCTGGGACCCTCATGACACTTCTCTCCACTCAAGGAGATGCGGGGAAATTGCTTCTGAGGTGGCAGCGCTTGCAGAGTTGCCCCTCCTCACTGCTCAGGCAGGCGCACGCACCATTGCAGAGCCGGCCCTTTGCGGGCAGGTGAGACCTGCGCTTGCCTGCGATGGGTCCTGCAGCTCCCCTCCCTTTGGAGGCCCAGGTCCCAAGTGCGCCCCCTATGTGTGCATGCACAAAGAGGGGTGCTCTTGGGGCAGCTCACATACCTGCAGGTCCCGGAAGACCCTGTGTTCCCTCCCAGAGTCCATGGAGACAGGCCCTGGTGGAGCACTCCAGGAGGTTCGAGTCTTTTTCCCTGCTTTGGCTTCAGCACACGGGAGGTGTCCTGTGAGCTGCCGCCCCACAGTGATTCTGGAATCCTTGGTGCTCGTGAATAAGCTAGGCAAACAGCCACCCAGGGTGCTCAAGTGTGCAGAAGACATTGGCAAGCTGGGGTGACTGGCCACGGTGTGTGTCCAGAGCCACCAGGACAGCCTGAGGCTTTCTGGTCTCAAAGCGTGTCCTCACAGGGTGGAGACCAGGGGCTGGGCCTGGTGCCTGACAGCCCAGCTGCGACCATCCCCGCCCTGCACAGGCCCCCCTGCATAAGGCAGCCCCAGATGCTGACCCACCTCATGTGAAGGGGCCAATCCCGGGCATCACCATGGAGGCGGCATGTGGCCCCTCTGGCCCTATAGCTCAGCCCAGGTGTGGACATAGAGAGGGGACGGGGGTGCAGAGGCTCTTATCTCACACTGGTCACACTACTCAAGCGGCAAGAGAAAGGGGGAGCAGCAGACACACCAGACCCATCACGGCTTCTCTGGGCCTCGAGGACGACTGCCCTGCAGGAGCAGTCAGGGCCCGACCGAGTGAGTGGTGGGGAACCTTCCTGGGTCCGTGGGAGTCGTGTGCTCATGGGTCTCACGGGCAGCAGACTTCAGGCACAAAACATGCTTAAGGGTGAAATTACCAAGAGCTGGACAGCAGCAACAGTGACAAACCAAGGGGCCTCTGAGCAGTGGGCCATCCCAGAGCTCGTCTCTGCAGCTGCTGCCTTCGGTCTGCGCAAGGGCCAGTCCACCCCAGGCCAGTGCCATGGGTGCAGCAGAGGAAGAAGAGAAGCTGGTAGCAGGAAGGATAGAGGAGCTGCGCAGCGCGAGGGAGAGGGCACCCGGAGCATGTGGAGCCTGAGCCCCATCCTGCTGGGTGTCTATCGAGGCCTCTCTGCAAGTCCAGCCACAGACCTAAAACAAGCAGCCCAGCTAGATCACGCCAGAGAGTGACCCTTCGCCTGTGGTCGTCATTAACCTCAGGCTCGCAGGGAAACGGAGAGGCCGCAGTTGGCCGATGAGACCTTCCTGTGGCCGCAGAGGACCAGGGTGTCGTGGGCATGGCGGGGAGGCATGAGGCAGAGGTGACCACCCTGGCGGTCCTGAGGCCACCCCAGGAACCCAGCGCACCCTGTGACCAGCTGCCGCCAGCCCTGCTCCCTGGGGCAATAATGGGAGGCCCACAAAGGAATCGGTGCTCTCCCTCAGTTGGCCGCTATGAACACTGGAAATACCATCTTCTTGGTTTACAGGTGGGGAAACTGAGGCCCCAGCGACCCAGCCCGGTGGCCACGCTGGCTTGGGTACTTCACGATCGGGGATCTCCTGATTGCAGACATCCCACAAATAACTTTTGTGGGTCAGCTGCCATGAAGGGGCTAGACCCAGAAACAGAGCTGGTAGTTTGTCAGGATGTGCAAAGATTCCGGTCTTGGTGCTTCAAGAATCGCTCACTCTGGGCCTTGTGCACGGGCTGTCCCGGGAGGGGGCTGTTGCCAGGTCACCCCACCGGCAGAGTCTCAGAGGAAACCAGCAGAAGGCAAGTCAGGGAGCATGTCACAGGGCTGACCACCACAGCCTTTGGCAGGACACAGGACATTGGCCCATTTGGGTGAAGGGAGGGAGCAGGGCTGGGGTAGACCCCCCTCCAGAGCAGCCCAAGACAGACAAGGGGCAGCCTCCCCATTTGGAGCCACTCTGCTGCCATAAGCCCAGCCAGGTCTGAGGTTAGGGCCATAGCTGCACAGCGAGGAGCTATCTGGCAGAGGAATCAGGCTCTGGATATGCTCAACAAGGCCATGGACGGGCACCCAAGAGGCTCCAGTGGGGAGCGACTGGCCAGGGGGAGCTTTCACACCCAGGCTGGACTGTGGAGTGGGAGCCAGGGGATGAGGGATGAGGGTGCCATTTCTTTGGTGCTGCAATGGGCCAAGCTCCAGAGGTAGTGAGCAGGGCCCCCCTCTGGGCGTAGGCTTGTGCCTGGTGTCCAGCCAGAGGCACTGAGGGCCCCACACAGCAGGGAGGGGCTGGTGAATGTCCTGGGGCAGCCTCCAGGTCTTGGCAGGTTTCCAGAAGCTTCTCCAGGGACACCCAGTGTGGGCTCCCACTATGGCTCTGTCTCCATGACCCACTTCCTGGAAACAGTGGAGCTGGAAGGGAATTCCATCCATCCTCTGTTCCCTCTCCAAAGGCAGCTGCCAGGGAGGAGGATGAGGTTGAGGGCCCGGATCTGGCAGAGCCAAGGACATCCTGGGGCGCTGGAACCTGCTCCTGGCCAGAGCTTTGCTGGGGGGTGCAGGAGTCGAGTCGGGCATCCGCACTGCTGTCTCCTCACCTGGTGAGCAAGGACAGCTCCCACTCCTGCTCCCGCCTCCCAGGAGAATCAAAAAGGAGAGCCAGCGAGCTCCATAGAAAGCATAGTTCATCAGAGTGCTTGGAAATAATATCTGGGAGGCCTGCTGCCCACCAGGCAAACCTGCAATAGCCCCAGACGCCAGCAGCCGCATCCAGCTCTCCTGGGAAAGTAAGTTAAGTCATTCTGACTTCTTCATGTTGCTCCCAGCCTGAGAAACCAGGGCGGGCACTCCCAGGTGCCTGGTAGGCGGTGGGCGGCCCCTGGGGTAGACTGCGTGGGACAGGGAGTTGCTGAGGGTGGGGGTGGAGGGGCAAAGCAGAGGCCGGGACCCCACAGAGCCATCAGGGTGGCAGAGCAGAGGGTGGTCCTGGGAGCCCATACACCCCCCCAGAGAGTCGGGGAGGGATGTGGCCCAGAGCCCAGAGGGACTGCAGCCCAGCCCAGGGGCCTTCAAACCTCACACAGACCCTGGCTCTCCCCTGGGGCTGTCGACGGGAATCTGGGGGCTGGCCCCAGTGCCTCAACCTGAGGAGCCCATCTAAGCCCTCGGGTGCATGACAGGCTCCCGCTGGCCTTTGCCTCCCCCACGGTTCCCAGCACGGCTGTGCTGTCCTGTCCTGGGTAGTGGCTGCTGTGTAACAAGTCACCCCAAACCTGCACTTGCAAACGGCCACGGGCTGTCACACCTTGTGACTGTGGGTCAGAATCACGCAGGCACTCCTGCATGCGGCCAGGTGGGGACACACCTGTGGTGCTCGCAGGCAGGTGGGGTTTATGGGGGCTCCTGGGGGTGCCACTCCCATTCTGGCACTCCTAGAGGTGCTGGACGGCTGCGCTTAGCTGGGATAGGTGGTAGGGCGTCCACACGTGGCCTCTCTGATGTGGCAGTCTTGGTGTAGCTGCACTTCTCTCCCAGCTCCAGGGGGAGACGCAGGGGAGGCTGCAGGGCTCCCTCTGACCCCCCCTCACAGCAAGGCTGGTCCCTCCACCAGTTCCATCTGTTACAAGCACATGTCGGGCACCAGAGTGTGGGAAGGGACCTTGCAGGGTGTGGCCCCTGGGAAGCATATTCCTTGGGGACATCGTCTGGCACCTTTGGTGGCCCTCACTCTCCACAGCAGAGCTGGCAGCTGTGTGAAGGTCTGATGCCCTGGTCTCCCAAACGCACACTCACTGGACGCCAGCAATACCACAGCCTCTGGTCTCTGGACTCTCCTGGCATGGCCCCCAGGCCCAAGGCCCTAAATGCTCTGCCCCTGTCTCTCCCCCGGCCTGCACAACCTCACCAGCCAGGTGCCTCATGGGTACCCCAGCTCCCCCT